CGGGCCAGCCCTGACTGGTTTGGATCAGTGGATAGAGCGTCGGCCTGCAGACTGAGGGGTCCCGGGTCCGGTCAGGGGCATGTACCTTGGTTGCGGGCACATCCCCAGTGGGGGGGGAGGGGGTGCGGGAGGCAGCTTATCAATGTTTCTCTCTCATTGCTATTTCTAATTCTCTATCCCTCGCCCTTCCTCTCTGTAAAAAAATCAATAAAATGTATTTTAAAAAAAGAAAGAATGAGCCAGATCATGGGCCACACCAGGGGGAGGGAGCAGAGAGAGTGCACCCTGTTGTTGAGGATCCATTCCTTGCTGCCTGGGGCCCAGTGGGCCGTCCCATACCGGTCAGAGCCAGGGGAGCCTGGGAGTGCCTCCTGGCAGCCTCCCCACGTTCTGCCAGGGCCTCTGTGGGTTCACGCAAGGCCGGCCAGGGCCATTGGCAGCATTTCTAACCCCACAGTCACTGTCTGATGAAATGGGTAGTTACTATAAGACCCTGAGTGTGTGAGCCGTGCTTGTGCCTGGGGGCAGGGCGTGGCGTGAGCTTCAGGGGAGCCGCTGTTGTCCTGACCCGGTGGCAGGCAGCCTGTGTTCCTCGATGGTGCCCCCACGGTCACGATCACCTCCCCACTCTAAGGCGTCTGAAGGGAGATGGGGAGCCTGGGGGCCTGGCACAGGAAAGAAGAAAAGTTGGTGGGGCAAGGTGGCTGCGGAGGCAGGAAAGGGGTGCCTGTGGCCTCCAGTTCAGCTCACAGACAGCCCGCTCACTGGCTTAGGTGTCTGCTGGTTGTGCAAGGGGACCCTGGGGTTCTGGGAGGGGGTGGGAGTGTGTGAGTGATGTTTGGGGACATTCGTTGGGGATTTGGGGGAGGGCAGGGAATGCTTCTTCTCCACTTGAAATGACGGAATCCAGCCCTGGCCGGTTTGGCTCCGTGGATAGAGCATCGGCCTGGGGACCGACGGGGCCCGGGTTCGATTCCGGTCAAGGGCAGGTGCCTCGGTGTGTGCAGGAGGCAACCAATCAATGTGTTTCTCTCACAGCGATATTTCTCTCTGTCTTTCCCTCTTCCACT